TTTAAAAAAGAATTAACCGAGTGATTGAGTTAGTTACAGATGTTGAATGCAGCATCACAAAGATTGAAATCCAGACAACTCAAGTTAAAACATATAAGCAGAGGCTGCTTCTGCAAATACTTCTTAAGCCATAAGAATTTGTGTCTCCATTGCCTATATGTTCCATTTAATTTCAAGCCGCGATTGCTAGTTACAACGTACCTGCTGAGCAGCTTGTCTGAGCAGTTGATCAAGTTGTGGAGTTGAAGCGGCATGGAATCCTGCACTTGATACTGCGCAATCAACGTTCAGGTAAGCAACAGCCTTTGAAGCTAACAGTGCTCTGTTTTCTTCTACCCATTCAGTTGACCCTACCTGAGTTGGTAGATTTTCTTTTAGTTCTATTTAAGCATGGCACTCAAAACACGAGCGCGGGTGCGCAGAGAGAGAGAGAGAGAGAGAGAGAGAGAGAGAGAGAGAGAGAGAGAGAGAGAGAGAGAGAGAGAGAGAGAGACCAAGCCATATTCCTCAGCATCCCAATTGCAGAAGACAATCGTTCTTCTAGGTCTCCACCCCTTTTTTAGTAGCTTTCCTAGCCTTTGTGCGATCTGCATCTTGTAAGTAATCAAGTCAAACCAGCATGGAGGCGTGATGGATTTACTTGCTTGAGTTTTACCGTTCTACATTACTTGTGGTGACACAGATTCATTTCACTCTCACATTCTTACTTTGCACTATAGTTTATTGCACAATGCAGACATTATTACCTCCAACAGTGCTGCAGTACCACTATTAGGATCAACTGCTCCAAATGTCCATGCATCCCGGTGATTGCCTAGCAGTACATACCTGGAAAAAAGTAGAATCTGATTGATTAGTCCATTACGAGGCAAGCTACTCAAACGTCACTGTTCTCATGATGCAAGCTTATATGGTATCACGAAAACTTTCATAAGTGCATCCGCACTCTTGCTCCAGAAAGTAAAATACTTACCTATCAGGTTCTTCTACTCCTTCAATAACTCCAATAACATTCTCTATTGTTGCTATGGTTTGATTTCCCTGACAACAATGAAACGCCTCTTTCAGTAAATTTTAGCCATTATATAGTCAAGTTTCAAGTGGATACTTTGGTGGATAGGAACTAGTGACGCATGTCGTTCTTACAGAATAAGTGAGATTCAGAATCCCAGGCCCGGGTCCAACCCTATATGGAGGAGCATCTTTGCTCCCTTGCCAATCATCTTTTGCCAGCTGTCCACCGAGCGACCTCATTATAGTCTCGCCATCAGCTCCTGACACTGGCAGTGAAGGTATCAGAGGAACATCCCCTTCCTTCTCTATTTCTTCATTGGATAGCCTCTCACTTCCTTTTGTGCTTGGCCATCCCGGCGTCGCGGGGTCCCCGGCCCCCGTGTACACCGACCCTACTTGGACCCCGCTCGGCGGCATCCACCTGTCATCTGGGAACCACTTTACATCGCCCCCTCCGCCGCCGTAATCCTTCCTATCGGTGTATATGATCACCCCTATTGCCCCTGCCTCATATGCCTTACGCACGATATCTCCTCTGTATATCTGCCCATATTTCGCCAATACTACTGTACCCGTGACATTCACTCCCATTTCTTTTAATGTCTCGTAGTCCTCTACCCGCCCATAATTGACGTAAACCACGGGTCCCGTGGCGGTGCCGGACTTGGCATAGCCATGAAAGGTAGGGAATACTTCGTTGGCCACATCGGCATAGGGATCACCATCATAGATCTCTTGGCGGAGGATGAACTTTACCGCCGGCTCGGGCGGTGGACGCGTGAGCGTCAGGGAGCGCGATATCGGGTAAGTGAGGAGGACGTCGTAGGCGGCGATGTGGGCTCGGACGTTGTAGGACGCGAGGGTGGATAGGACGTAGGCTGCGGCTTCCGCGTTGGCGGGCGTCCCCGCCACGTGGGGCCGGCGGGTGAGGGTGTAGAGGTGGTGGGCCACGGAGGCATTGTCGGAGATGGAGGTCGATAGGAAGAGGGAGTGATAGAACGATTTCGGAGGGGGAGGGAAGGAGAAGAAGAGGGTGAGGGTGGTGGTTACACCAAGAAAGGTTGCTGTGGCTAGTTTGTACATGGGGAGGTTCTAGCTTTGGGTCTGTAAAAAGAGGTGGGGTAACTACTTGATGGTGGTACTGCTTGATGGACTGGTACAAAGAGCAGCTCCGAAATTTCTATTGCAGAGAGAGAGGTGTTTGGATAGTGAGGTTAAACCATCAAGAAAAGCGCTGAAAAGCCATTTCAGAGAGAGAGAGAGAGGGAGAGAGAGAGGGAGGGAGATATTTTCAACCTTGGAGGTGGTGGTCTTTGTCTACTCAACAGCCATTGGAGAGGCGAAATGAGAGGTCATTGATCATCACCCTTCTGCTAAAACGCTTCAAGTCATAGAGAGAGAGAGAGAGAGAGAGAGAGAGAGAGATATTTTCAACCTTGGAGATGGTGGTCTTTGTCTGCTTGGAGAGGCGAAATAAGAGGTCATTGATCATTACCCTTCTGCTAAAACGCTTCAAGTCTTATCCGATGACTCCGACGATGGAGACAAATTCCAACCCATGATTCTTTTAATAATTGAGGGCCTATCTGCTCGCGGGCCGGGGGCACGCCATTCAGTGTCATCAAAAGCAGAGATACTTAGGAAGGAGACAAACAGAGATAAGAAAATCCAATTTTTCCTTACATTTGCTGTCAATCATTTTCCATCAAGAGTCCCAGTGCACGGGTTTTCGCTGTCTTTAGCGTGAACCTACACACCCTTTTGAAATTCCGAGGAAATTGTTGTCTTGATGGGTAAGTCTAAGAAGAGATTCAGGTTTTGCCTGTCGATGTACTTGGGATTTCGTGGTTAAGGGGTTAATTTGCTAGGTTCTTTTTTCTGGCCCGTGATTTTCCATTGGCGTTGAGATGATGATTTTGCAGTTTCTTGCCTGCTGGCTGATTGATACTTTTAGCGCAATTTGCTGGTTTGCTGATCCATGCATTCTAATAGTTAATTAGATTCTATCTTTCCATTGCCTATCGCGTCGATGTCGCCGGAATTTCTTATTATCAAAATGAGCCTTTCCTCCATTTTCCCAGAACCAGACTCTGGCGCTGGACGCGAAGATTTCCCAAATCAGCCTTCTCGTGCTGTGACATCAAGTATCAAGTCCGATTAGAGATTTGGATTGACCTGTTCACGGGCCAGAGAACAATCTCCAAATCATTCACCTTTTCCGCATTGCTTTCATGAATTTTCACGAAAGGTTCTAAAACAAGAGTTTTGATTTTCAGTGACAAGATGTTCCTCATCAGGCTCCAGATCCACTTTGGCCCGTGAGTTTCCACGTGCATCCCTGTGCTCTCTTGTGATGTTACAGTTCAAAATCTTGGTTAAAATTCGTCTTTTTCCCTGCCACGGCAAAGGTTTACGTTTTAGGGTGCGTTTGTTTGTTTGACTGAAAGAGTTTTTAGTAAATTAGTTATTCGGACTTTCACTTGTTTAACTTGCTAAAAATGATTGGTTAATGGAAAACCATTTACGGTAAAAAAAAATGTATACCTAAAGTAAGGAAAATGAATTGCCTAACCTAAAAAGGGAAAAACGTTTTCTTGGAAAATGATAAAGTTTTTACTGAAACAAACACACCTTTAAAATACATTTTGAGTGCTTATACAATCTGGAAGTGTTATAAAAACTATTAAAGTGCTTTACTCGCATGTCGTGCAATTAATTAAGACAAAATCAAATCATATGATCTTATCATATGCATATCTACAGTTTGATCTTCGACCGAAAGGGTGACGACCCAAAGTAGGCAACATCTTCATTTTTCCATCGATAGAATATTAGAATGCAATGATAGGTGTTGGCACCAAGTGGGTTTGGATGTTTTCGATTCCTCAATAAACTTTTCTGAGCTACAAGCCCAAATGACTAGTTTCTCTCCTTTGCCAATGGGCCCAATGATTAGGTTAATTAGTTAAATCTAATGTTCATTCACACTAATCATCTAGGAATGTTCGCGGAGATCGCCTTCTTTTAGACTGGTCCGGTGAGAAGGATCGAGCGGCAATTGACCCGGATAACACCAGCTCAAGTGGTCGGGCACTAGGTCAAGCTTATATTGATCCCATCCGTTTTTAAGTAGAAAGTTAGGAAAAAAATGTAGGGAAAAACAAAGCTTGGAATAGGTTGGGAGCGATTGGTCTGGGCATAAGGAAAATTTCCAATATGGGAATCGAAAGACACCTGCTTAAATCTTATCGATTGCGTGTAAGCCACTATGAGTTAGGATCACTTGCACAAGATCTAAATTTAATTGTGTTATGAAACTTACAAGGTGTTCCATGAGTTTCAGATAACTGGGTTTCTACGCTTGGGTCTCTTGGATTATAGAAGAAAAAATGTAGGAGAATTAGAAAGAACTTGTGGACCGAACCATACCAGGCGAATACTTCTCCAATGCATATGTCAACTCCCGTTCAATCGGCAACAATAAAGAGTTTTAGGTCGATGCGATTCAAGGACTGCACAAACACTGAGCCGCATAGAGCTATTATTGAAATCCATAACGATGTCAATTGACAGGTAGCTACATTAGCTTAATGTTAAACACATACTAAATCTAATCCATGATAAAGTATCAACTTGTGGATGGTTTGGATACATTCCCACTCAAGATCATACCTAACCATCCAATCCAAACCCAAGGAGAGACACTCACGGGCACTAACAGAAACAACAGCCCATTGGCAAAAGTTCCTCTGTTTGTCCGAACCTCCACTCCTTTTCTTCATTAATTTAGTCATTTGTAAGCCAAAAAGTGCACCCGTTTGACGCCTCCCCGTCTTGTGGCTAGCATTGCTCTCCTGTGACCCTCTCTCTCTCTCTCTCTCTCTCTCTCTCTCTCTCTCTCTCTCTCTACATGGATGTCAGCAGTACTAGAAGCACCCGTGACCTTATGACCCTTTATCTGTCAAATGATTCTCCAATTCAGCATCACTTTCCACCTAAACCCAGAGCGCTATGTGAGAAAGAAAAAAAAATGACAATCAACGTATATAAAACTCAATCACTAAGGCCATTCCTCTCCACCACTTCGAACTCCCACGTTAAAACATTCCCTCCACTTCTCATCCTCTCCATCATTCTCATTCTGTCATCACCAATGCCAGAAAACAAGCATTCCCCCATATTCCGCGTTCTTGTTCTCTTCCTCCTCCTCCTCCTCCTCAGCTCGAGAACCTCGCTATGCCACACCAAGGGGCTGAGGCCCAAGAGCTCGGCCGGGAAGCAGCCACCGCAGAACGTGACGCGGGCCCAGTTCTCCGAGCAGCAATTCATGAAGTGGGTCAAATTCGTGGGCGGCCTCAGGCACTCGGTGTTCAAGGCCGCCAAGAACAAGCTCTCCCCTTCCTACACCCTCACCGTCCACAAGAACCCCGCCGCCGGCGACTTCACGACAATCCAGGACGCGATCGACTCACTCCCCTTCATCAACCTTGTGAGGGTCGTGATCAAGGTTCATGCAGGAGTTTACACGTGAGTAAACATTTTCCTCTTCTTCTTTCTTTTTTTCTCCCGCTCTTGTTCTTGCTCTGCATACACGTTTATGTACTTCCAAGCTCTGTTCGCAACACATTTTGTCTTGTTGACTATGTTCTTTTGCTTTTTGGGGCTTGGCCAAAAAAAAGTTGGTCCTGTTCTCTCTCTCTCTCTCTCTCCGTGACCATTGATTGTAGAGTTCCTCTTGTCTGCACTCACTTGTTTTGTATCTTTCATTGGCTTTGTCCTCCTTTCTAGCTTTGGTTCTGTTTGTTCTGTCCAATTTACTTAGTGACCAACTTAGCCATCAGATTTGTACAAATGGTGTCTGATTTGAATTTCCTCTCTGAACTTCTTTGCAGGGAAAAAGTTAATATTCCTCTATTGAAGTCCTTCATCACAATTGAAGGTGCGGGGGCAGATAAGACAATAGTCCAATGGGGAGATACAGCACAAACACCAGGGCCAAGAGGCCAGCCCATGGGGACTTATGGTTCTGCTACTTTTGCCGTCAATTCACCATACTTCATAGCCAAGAACATCACCTTCAAGGTCACCTTCTCCTTCCGATTCCATCACCAATTTCTCTTCACAAATAATGACTTTTCAGGTGGCTCTGAGATCACGCAATTCTCTAAAATGTATACATTTCGATTAGCAATTTGTGTGAAACACGCACTTTTTTTTTTTTTTGGTTATAATTAGGAGTAGCAATTTGAAACACGACAATTCACTACCTAACTTAACATGCCCACGAGCACAAAAGATACAAAAGTATAATCCTAATTGATATTTTTTTAGTTTTTTTTTATTTCAAAGGGGTGCAAATTCACGTCTTCATGATTTATGACGTCATTATCTAACAATGAAATGTATTAAAGTTAATTTGTCCATTTGGGGGTTGCGATGCAGAACACCACACCGGTGCCGAAACCAGGAGCAATAGGGAAGCAAGCGGTGGCGTTCCGGATATCGGCGGACACGGCGGCATTCTGGGGCTGCAGTTTCTTGGGAGCTCAGGACACACTCTATGACCATCTGGGCAGGCATTATTACAAGGATTGTTACATTGAAGGCTCTGTGGATTTCATCTTTGGCAATGCCCTCTCACTCTTTGAGGTTACAACTCTCTCTCTTGTCTCTCTTCTTTATTTCCTCCACTCAATTTATGAAAAGAACAATTCAACATCTCGACTGGATTGTGAATTCTAGTCCTGTCTTCCTTGCATTCTTGCTTGATAAATAAAATAATTACCTAAGCTCGTTTCTAATAAATTAAACTAATCAAATTTCAAAATTAAACAGCGATATCGTCACTATTTTTTTTTTCTGTTGCGCAATGTGATTGGCTCTACCTATCACTTCAAACATAGAGCAAACAAACATGATAAATTTCTTTCGGTTCATGTCGCATGCTGAGGTGATTTGACAAGAACAGGGGATTTTCCCGTTTTCTTTAGCCTTTTCATTTCTTTATCTTTGATTTCTCTTTGCTTTTGACATAACTTAATGGCCACAAATAGTCAGAATTTAGAAGTTCATTTTTGTGGGAGAGGTGAAAATGTGATAGTGGTCCAATTCCTCCCAAGCCACAATCAGCACCACCGTTTTGCAGGCCCATGAAGCCAGCTTAACTTTTCAAGGATGCTGATAGAGTGGGCATTAGACTGAGCTCTATGCTATTGCTGTCCCACCGGAAAAGCTCTTCTAAAACCTAAAGTATTTAATGAAAGTGCTTACATCATGAATGATGACATGGGATATCTAGCTAATTAAAATTTCAGTATAGGAGGCTGCACCCTTAAATCTTCATCTAAGACTTGTTTATGAAATGACAGTTTGGTTTTGGTATGCTGGTGATTTGACAAAAAGTTATTATTTTTCTGACACGAGAGACTGTTGGACCAGATTGCTTGGTGCACTCCAATGTAAGGAATGTCCTAGAGGATACTTATGTCACGGCATTTTCACAAATGACATGTTTTGACATTTCTCTAAACTCATATGCATGCACGATACTATGAATTAAAAGGCGCGCCGGTAATGGATATGTGGGATGCAGAGTTGTCACGTGCACGCGATAGCGCAGAACATGGGCGCGTTGACGGCTCAGGGGAGGAGCAGCATGTTGGACGACACGGGGTTCTCTTTCCTCAACTGTAAGGTCACAGGTTCGGGCGCGCTCTATCTCGGGAGGGCGTGGGGTCCCTTTTCGAGGGTCGTCTTCGCCTACACCTGGATGGACGACATCATCATCCCCAAGGGCTGGTATAACTGGGGAGACCCTAATCGCGAAATGTATGTATATATACACGCTCGCCCTCCTATCTCCCGCATTGATTAGCTTTTTCTATCACATTGGTACTAATTCGAGTCTATACAATAATTTTTGGGGATAGGTTCGAAAATAGTAAGTCTCTTGATTGGGCATATTATTTGGTGGTCCACCAAAGATCAGGTTCTATTTGCGCTTTTTAGCCTTCTCCTAGGTCTAAAACATAATGGGGCCTTCTTTACTAACAAACTAGTAACTACAACGCCAAGATGCTTCCTTTGCAATTTAGCTGAATTCATTGAACACTTTTCACTTTATTAGTAAAGTCCTTGTACTCCTCCCTTACTAGAAACTAGGCAATCAACCCTCTTCTTGAAGATGGCCGATCTTCCCTTCTTTCATATTGGCATCTTCAATTTGAAATCACCGTATCGACATAGTGATCGCCAAAATCGAACCTCGAATTTCATAAAATTCAAAGTAACTTTTTAGAATAATTTTCAGAAAATTTAGGTCTATGGTCCAATTATTCCAAATACTTTTCTCATTCAATCCTAGGTCATGAAGCACCACCACTATCACTACCGTCCTCAATGAACCTAGTGCTTTGGACAGTGCCACCGCCTTTTTTCCATCGAAGCCGTGCTCATGGGTCTACGTATTTGTCATCTTACTCTTTTTGCCCTTATGGTCAGCTCCTCTGCTGATAGCATATTATATTACCAATTACAAGTTCCGAAATGACGGGACCGCCCTCCCGAAGACTCCTGCACAGCCACTCATTCCCTTTGCAAGGGGCGGGGGCAGCTTCGGAATTACGTAAATGGAAAGAGCCTAGGGCTGAAGAGGAATAGTGACCTAAGTGCATGTCCTTTTCTCTTTTTCCCTATGTACAGTCTACGTGTAATGCACCTCCACTAGAGCATGGCATACCCAAGAAACATTAAAAACCCTAGGCCACCCACCTAATCCATAACATCCCACCAAGGCAATCTCTCTATGTTGGGCAATTTTTGGCACTTTTATTGAGTTGGCCTGTCACTTCTAGCATGCCCATAGGTTATGCTTTTTGCATAGAAATTGGTCATTTCATTTTATTTGTACATAACTTCTGCACATTTTCTAAAAGCATGATCAGGCCAGTACACATATATATATCGATTTATCTTTTGGCAAGTGGGTTCATTTTATTGATGGGTGAAGATTTTCATGTAAAGAGTAATCAAATAAAATATATTGTACTGCTAATGGTGATTTTAATATGAATCCTAATTGTTGTTGTGTGGTTTCTTTTTTGGACTGATGAATGCAGGACTGTGTTCTATGGGCAGTACAAGTGCATTGGACCGGGGGCAAGCTTTGCAGGGAGAGTGTCATGGTCAAGAGAGCTCACCGATGAGGAAGCCAAGCCTTTTCTCTCCCTTAGCTTCATTGATGGCTCCGAATGGATCAAGATGTAAGGCCACCATTGAGATCAAGAGATGTAGAATCTGCCATTATTCTTGTCCCAAAGTGATGTTTAGGTATATGTCGACTCGCTAAAATTGGTATACGAAATGACGCTACCGACGACTTTTTACTAGACGTTGAATACAACCCGCTCGTTTAAAATACCCGTATGCATTCTCGGAAAATGGGTATCGGGCCAGGTCTATGTTCACTAATATGAAGTAGAGCCTTCTTAATAAAAATCATCGTTCAAATTTACAATCTATCATTCACTAAAATCTCCTATCCATTAACATATGACTGAAAAAGGGAGCAACAAGAAGCATTTCTTATCCTCCCACACTGATCTCTCACCACATCCTCTTGTCCACCTCTTTGCCAAACTCACTGGGCCTCTCAAGCTTTCCCAGTATGGCATTCTTGAAGTTGATCACCTCCTGGGCTCTTGAGCAAGCCCTCTGCATCCTAACCCCGCTCAAGCTGCTCCTCGAGCCCATCGCCTCGTAGAGCGAGAGCCGCCTCTTGGACCCCGGCTCCGGCCTCTGCTTCGGGGCGCTCTGCGACCTCAGCTTCGCCGCCGACGACTCCGTGCTCGCCATGTAATTCGGGGACCTCCCGCCTGTTTGCCCCCAGGAGGAGTTGTCATCTCCGCATGAGCTCCTGTTGGACGGGGTGGCGGGCCCGCTGGGCCCACACCGGCGAGAGCTCGCGAGCCGGGGCGTGCTGTGCGCCGTGGTGGAGAACCGGCACTCGTCGCCGCTCAGGGCCCACTCGGGGTCGGGGAGGTTCCGGAGCTCGGGGATCGACAGGCGGGGCGGGGCCCGGAGCGGGAGTGGAGAGGAGAACGTGGGGTGGGGAGGAGGAGGAGGAGGTTGGGGCTCAGCATAGAGATCCGCATCAGAGGAAGGGTGGGGCCTTATGGGCCTTGAATGGCGCCCACCATTGTCAACTTCCACAATCTTTGGGCTTCCTTCGGAGGTTGCGATTACTGTTGCAGCGTCGAGGGACGACGAGAGCCTCATGCTATGAAGCGATGCTGTGTATTCGCTTCCTGCCTCATCCGATCTCCCCTGAAAAAAGTTGAGAAAAGAAGGAAACAGGTTTGTCATGGCCAAGAGCAAAGACCAAGGAACAAGTGAATTCTGGTGCAACAAAACGTGGCTTTCATCTGCTAGATTCAACGGAATGTTTGCTGATTGATATTGCTCTTTGCACAGCACCCAGCCCTTAGAACAGCGAAATTTCTCTTATCAAACAGATAGGAACAATCCCGCTTATCGGCGTCATTCCGCGAGTCGGCTTTCGCAGCACGGTAGATTACGACGCTCCTAAAGAATCGAAAAGGGCCAGAGGCCAAATGTGTGTTTCGACCGATGGCTAAGTTGTTACCGTGGATTTGCGCGGCCGGGACTCCGCAGCTGCGCAAACTTCGGGGGGGACGGTGAGAGGAGCGCGACCCCGGCGGGACCGGACGGTGGCTTGAGCTCGGAAGAGAGATTGCATGCAGTGGAATGCAGCAGTGGCTTGCCTCCTCACCAGATAGCCCCTCACCACCGCCTGCAGCTTCACCAGCCCTCGCAGCGCTTTCAGTGCTTTTCTTGCCTGTTTCGCGTCCAAAAGCAAATCAAAATACAGCACAAAACAGAGAAGAAGGGCGAATCTTCATCCTGCTCACCAAGTAACCCCTGAAATTAGCCTGAATCTGCACCGCGGCCCACCTCTCGTGGCCGCCCCCGCCGCCGCCGCCGAGCGCGGTGCCCCTGCCGCGGCTCGTGAGCCTCACGACGGCGGCCGCCGCCTGAGCCGCCGCCACCGCGGCGTCCGCAGCCGCAGCGGTGGCAGCGGCCACCGCAATCGCGTGCTTGCTCCGCTCCTCCTCGCACCCCTCCGCGAAGAACGACCTCAGCCAGGCGGCCTCCGCCGCAGATATGTTCGGCGGGATCGTGGCAGGGTTGTTGGACAGGCCCCCGGCGCGGCGGCGTTCTTGGTGCCCGCGGCGGCCGTCGGCGGCGGGGTCCTTGACCTCTTTATCCTTCTTGATCCCGAACAAGCCCTTGAGCCACCTCACCGCCCTACCCATTTCGAGAAAACAAAAGACAACAAAAGTCGTAAGAGATTAATGCAGTTGGGTCGCTTGCTCTCTCTCTCTCTCTCTCTCTCTCTCTTTTCCGGTTTCGTGCAGAGCGGATGTTAGATTTGCCAAGAACAGAGCGGCGATCATTCGTGGAAAGAATACAAAGTCTTTTTGAAAGACGACAAGGCAGGGCGAAAGGAACAGTGGAGCGAAGGGCGGGAAACTTTGATGTTTTCTATGCTGCTGTCTTTCGCTTTCGTACCGAAGAGGAGCTGTCATCGACCTCGTGCGCAAGGACAGCATTACGTGACAAGAAAATGGACTGAAACATGCAGAGGTTGTGTCTCGTGTATGCATGCATGAGAGGATGACTTGTCGAACTGCACTGCAGGGTTTCCAAAGAAAGATATTTTTCCAGTTACTACAAGGTAACTATTGGAATCTTCGTTCATGGGTGTTCGTAAAAAGTTGCAAATCACGTAATTTGGCTTAATGATTATGGATCGGAAATGACTCAAATTGCAATCAGTGTGCGCCTGCAACAACAGCACCTCCAAGGAAGATGATCTGCAATAGAGATGCAAATCAAGAAGAAGATTGTGTGTTTGCATGGGCCTATATGTTTTTATCGGATCAAGTTTCGATCCGGAGAGAGTTTATCGCATGAATTCCTTATCAATTCCGAATATTGACTTTTTTTACATGTCAATGAAGTTTTCTTTCCATCGAATATTCAGTATATTGCCTTCTTGTCTAGCTCTTAAATCTAAAAGTGATCGGTTTTTGGATGGATCTGTTCTTGATTACCCTATTCCTCCCTAACCGGCCCTATTTTTTATTTGGTGCAAAAAGTCAAATTACTATAGTAAAATATAAAGGTCATGCCATTTCATTACAAAAACATATGTTGGTGAAGTAATAGTGTTGTTTATTTCTTTGTATTCAAGACATGGTTTCGAGTTAAACCGGTTCCTAGGTAGAATCAGTGGTTTTGGTTCTCCGAACCGGGAAACGGTTCTCCCTCGACCCGAAAACCGGTCTGGATCCACGTCTTTTTTCGGTCCGACCCTACGATCGAAACCAGATCCGAGGAACACCCTTGCTTAAACCCCGCGGCAAACGGGCACATGAAACGAATTGGAAGTTGTTTCCAAGTGGTGTTAGCTTTGCGAATTGGAGAAACGGGATCACATTCGCCGTGCTCGCCATGAATGAAAAGTCAACGTCGATGAACAGCGACTTTTCTAGGACATTTTTGTTGTTTCTCTCGTGGCCAATGGGATGCTGATAACAATACTAACATGGCGACAAGATTTTCATCCATCTGCATCGGTCGCAGACGAATCCGACTGTTGATGTTTTTTTTCTAGGATTCCTTTCCTAGTCCACACTGTTCTAGGGTTGGACATGGTGATGTATTCTAGTTATTTTGGAGAGCCAATTCGGCGAATCGGATCGAACATTGATCCTTCGACTAAAAACTAGAGACATTCGATTCCTCGAATATTTCGATCTTGAGTGTACCACCGCCGTTTTGGACAATTTACAGACAAATCTAAAAGTTATAGCGAAAGATCGACGTAGCTATTGGGCCAACCGACACGGTGCTCAGTTTGAGCGGCGACTGGGGTCGGGGCGAGCGCCTGATTTCATACACGCTTGCACCGGGGTGGGGGTTGTGCGGTGCCCACGACTTTGTACGATTTTTTTTGCCTCTAGAATACGAGGGGAGTTTCTTGGTTTTTCAGAATCGGGCTCAAGACCTCTCGAGGCTCAAATTCTTCAAGTAGACCGACCCGAGAAAGACCCGATCGGTAAGGCATTTTTATTTAGTGCAAACCAGAAGGAATGGAGCCGTTGGATGTTGCTCGATATTTGCTATAACTTAACAACGCGCGGCCATGGGATCGTCAGCTTCGCTTGCTTCCTAAGAGAGTTTACCTAATTCATTGTGTTTCGATTCGCTGAATGGAAAGATAGAGTTGGGGCAAGGTCTAACGTGTGATGCTACGTATAGGAAGTAGGAATCATTACGTCAAAAATTTCGTGGGGCTACAAATCTCGGGTGGAGATGAGACTTGCCTGGTTGGTTAAGTGGGCGGATATTTATTAGGGTTAATATTACGAGAAACTCCAAACTAGTACATATGTGATAAATTTATCTCGAATTAATTTTTTGACTTCGAAAAACCTCAAATTGATACATCCATAACAAATTTACTGGGAAAAGTGCCAAAAAAATCTTAAAACTTTTGTATTGGTGCCAATTTAGTCCTAAACTTTTTTTTTTATGCCAATTTAGTCTTGAACCTTTTTTTTGTGCCAATTTAGTCCTAAACCTTTTTTTGGTGTCAATTCAGTCCTAAACATTTTGTATTGGTATCAATTCAGTCTTAAATCTTTTTGTCTTTGTGCCAATTCAGTCCTTCCGGTCAATTTTGGTCAGATTTTGCTAACATGTACGCTAGCCGGTCACCGACGCTGACGTGGATAATTTTTAATAATATTTTTAATATTTTTTTGAATTTTTATTTATTCTTTTATTCTTTTTTTTTCCCTCCCTCCTTCCTCCAGCCAGTCGCCGCTGGCGACCGGAGGAAGGAGGGGGGAGGGAAAACAAGAAAAAAGAATAAATAAATAAAAAAATAAAATTTTAAAAAATAATAAAATTTTATTAAATTTTATCCACGTCAGCGCCGGTGATTAGCCGCCGGCCAGCCTGCGTCCACGTCATCAAAATTCGGCCAAAATTGTTCGGAAGGACAGAATTTGCACAAAGACAAAAAGATTTAGGACAGAATTGACACAAATACAAAAGGTTTAGGACTGAATTAGCACCAAAAAAAAGTTTAGGACTAAATTGACACAAAAAAAAGGTTCAGGACTAAATTGGCACAAATGCAAAATGTTTAGGACTTTTTTGGCACTTTTCCCCAAATCTACCCCAAAATAATTTTTTGATCACCAAAAATCCCAAACCGGTACACTTGTGACGGATTTACTCTCCGTTAAATTGTATTAATACTACGAAAAATCACAAATTGGTAAACCTGTGACAAACAGAGGGGTAAAACCCCAAACCAATATAGTTGTTAACTGTCACGTGTCATTTAACTCAGCAATTTGATTGTAAAATTTAACGGAAACTAACGGAGAGTAAATTTGTCACAACTATATTAGTTTTGAGTTTTTCGAGGCCAGCGTGTAAAGCCCATCTTGGGCGGTCCAATCTGACAAACCCATCCCGTTGAAGAGTGAACGGAGCCATTTTTTCCACGGAGCGCTCCATTAATTGGGAACACGAACGCCCGCGAATACAGTTCAGACTTCAAATCTCCGGCGATCTCCGTCGCCGGAAGTCCGCCGATTCGAGGTTCGCCGGAGGTCATCCTCCGCCTGCTCGAGTTCTCTGCTACCTCCGGCCGCCGTGGACTTCAGGTGCTCTCTCCCTCGGGAGAAACGGGAGGAGGTCATCTTCTGCGGCCGCGCACGACCGAGGGAGACGGGAACGAAATTCAGAGACTCGCTCTCGGACAGAGGAGTTTGCTTGTTTTCTCGACTTCCCTCGTTGATTTCGGGCCGTTGATAATCGCCGTTGAGGTCGCCGCTCGTTCGTCGTTCCCAAGAGGCGCAGTGAATCCTCTGTTATATCCTGTATTTCTGATCCGAGGCTTCGGAGAAATTGATCACCGCTCGATTCGTCTTCACCGGCGACGGCCATCATTGCCGACGCACCCAAGATTTTCTGTTCTTTGATTTGCTTGCCGGCCGTAGCAAGATATACAGCTTTGTCGTGGCACAGAGGCAGAGACCTCAAACTGCGCGTGAGTTAAAAAACTGTCACGAATGAAGCCGAATGGACGATTTGATGTTCACATTATCGCTGACGTGATGACTTAGATCGAAACACTACCTCAATGCTGCATATCAGATCGTTGGTTGGGATGCCTATTACCTGTTTGATGAAATGTCTGAAACGCATCAGTGTGAATATAGCTTCGAATTTGGCCGAGATCATCTCGTCTGCTTGAATGGTTCACTGCACTAGCTGTATAGGTTAGGTAAATGCAGTAGATTTTCACTTTAGAGTTTGTTTCCGAAGATCTCGGTTTTGATACGCGTCTGATAGTCATTAGTGATAAACTCGTTTCTATGAAATTATCTGAAGTGGTTGATGTGCTGAGTTGTAAGCACTTGTTAATTGTCACTAGCGCGTTCATTAGGCGTAGACCGATATGAAGAATTATATGAACTTTGCTTGAGAATCGATGACATATTCCCCGTGTAAGTGCTCATATCAATATGTTGAATTGCGAATCATGTTTGCGGTGCGTATGTTCTCTGTTTGTATGTTCCTGATGCGAATACTCTGAATAATTTTTTATTGTCTCCCAATTTGCTTCACGACAAGGTGAGATCCAGAAATTTGTTGTCTCGGTTCATCCATGATTCAAAACAAAAACTAACGTCATGGTAATGTTTGCATGAAATGTGACTGATGTTGAAGCTTTTTTTCAAAGATTTGGCCTGAATCTTTGTTGATGAGATGTTGTTGGATCGATATATCACTATAATGTTGCATATAGAACCGTCACTCGATATGCTCATCAGGCGTTTGACGAAATGTCTCAAAGAAATATATGTGAGATAATGTCTATTTTTTATCCAATCTGAGGTCAGTTCAGTGTTGTTTGCATGCTACTGATTGATTCATTAGTCGTCGAATATGATCTTCTGGAATTTTACCTGTTGCCCTCGAGTGACACGTCATCTTCTTTTTATATGTTTCAAGGTTGCTGCTGTGCTCAATGCGATGGTGGTTTTGCGGCGGTTATCGGCGAGGAGAACAACGGACAAGAGTCGTTGATGTGTATATTGCCGACTTCTGGTAACATCCTTAAGTGCCCGGGTTCGCTTCGATAGTTCCTCGTATTCTGTGCACCTCGGCAAAGTTAATTAGGCAAATCAAACATGAATCCAACTTGCGCGAGATATGGGTTTGAGAGAGCCCGCACCTAATCGAGGGCCGTTGGTCCTCGACTCGGCATTACCTCTAAACCTGTCCCGACAGAAAAGAGGGTCATGACAAGACCTGACTTCGAGTCTCTCATCAGCAAGTCGGGCACGATAGACATTTTCGCACTAACTTGAGAGGGGTGTCGAAGAATTATCTCGCAATAGGAATTTATTTTGTTTCTATTTATTTTATAGTCGGAAATACATTCCCATCTCTGCTCCTATTTTCTTGCTATTTTCTAACCGTCCTGAGCCTTTCTTGTATGTTTATCTGTAAGTTTCATATGAAATAAGAATCAGAAGAAACCATTTTTCTTCAACTATACCATTACATGTTTTACTATTACAACAATTCGCTTTTTGTTACCATGGATATTGAATCCAAGGGCGTTCTTTTAACTTTCTCGCTTCTCTTTCTGTTTTCCCCTCGAGTCAGAATCGCCGAGAAAATCTCTCCCTGATTCTCTCTCTCTCTCTCTCTCTCTCCTCTCAGACATCACTCACGGTCAAGTGCCCGTGAGCTTCCCGGAAGCATCTTCGGTCAGGGTTTCTTTGTCGTGAAACGGGTTGGTGGAGGTTGCTGTCGGTTCGAGAGTGTCGTGAGTTTGTGACCCTCTTCTTGTTCTCGGGAAAAGAGGCGGCGGTTTTGGAAGAGATGCAGGCGAGGCGCACGAACAGTTTGAGCAGGGGGAAGCGGGGCCTGGACTCGAGCTCGGGCGAGGAAGGGCAGCCTGATCGGAAGCAACCTGCTCTTGCGAGGTAAAACCCAACATGTAAATAGGGCCTTAGACTTCGACCAAAAAAAAAAAAAAAAAAATAGGGCCTTAGACTGCTAGAAAATAGCCAGAAAATAGGAGCAGAGATTGGAACAGATTTCGAGGATCACAACAATTCGATTTTTACAGCTTGTAGTACAGTATGTATAGCTTGTTCAGAAAGCAGTACGTGTTCCTTAGAACTGGCAAATTTACGTTCTGAAAAAGCTGATGTCCTGTTCAACATTTTGGAGAAGTTACGTTACTTTCCATTTCAAAGTCCAGGAGGGTTTGCATTCTCTTCTTTAGATTTATTCTGTTCCGGGAAATATGATTTCTTAATGAAATTTTTAACCCCAACCAATTGTTGTGGGCTTATGGGATGGAATTACTTGGAGGTTTATTTATTTATTTTTTTGGTTAAGATTAAGCACTCACAATGCTCTGTGTGGTTTACCTATGTCCACAATGAATGGTCCTGAAAGCAAAACTTTAGAAGTCTCTGTATGAATTTTGTCCTACTTCATGGCACATCTCATTCTATGTATTCTTTATCAGGCAATATCATATTCTGATCTTGATCATATCTTGCGTACTGAGTAGTTCTGTTCATATTGGAGGAAACAATATCATCCTCATTCCTCTTATTACGTCATTAGTTGCCAACAATTTATTCAAGAAGTTTGCCTATGATCGGGCTTGGACTGTATTTGCTTGCCTAGCCCATCTAATACCAGCCCTCCGCATTGGGGTGTTGTCGATAGTTGGTTCTTGCTTATGGAAGTTGCTCTTCGTGGGTCTTAAGTTTGCAATCTCCTTATGTCTTGACCTTTCCTTTCTTCCTTGTCAGTGTCTCGTTGTTGTTTTAGTAAGATCATTCTTGTCGGTTAGAAGGAGTGTTGCTAGTGAATCACCGCTGGTAGTCAGTTGTTGCAATCTTACTTTATTTTCTACGTTTCTTATTTGCTTATAATATATGAGAGCGTGATATTCATGATTGCAGGAATCTTTCCTTGCCTCAAGCAAATGAAGAAAGAGCCGAGAAATGTACTACTCAAATTTCGATTGTATGTGCATTTCCCTGCTAAGTCCCCCCATACATGACCACTTTTATGTTTTATTTCATTTGATGGCTTATTATTTCTCTATCTTTCTGCAGGCTAGTTCTAGTGGTATGAATATGAAGATTGAACAAGCCAAAAGATTTGCAGTCGCGCAAGCGCAACGTGATGGTAGCACTGGAAACTACCGGATCTTCGATTCGCCCTATGGAAATTTTCTGGTACCTGTAGTTCCTACTCGTGCAGACCTAGGTGTATAATTGTTCTTGCTTTTGGCAATTTCTCTGAACTGCATCTTACCCACCAGTACTCATTTTAAGAAGTTGATACGTAGCAGTAAAAATGTGCGGAGCTATGTGTTCTGAGCATCATGCGCTTGACTGGTCAATCTACTGTTAAGCCTTGCTGTTTACAGGCCATGGCATTGCAATAGGTTCATAAAACAACCCAGCAATCTGTGCTCCTTATCTCTTTAGTTAGTCAAAACATATTAGCGGTTGAAAAGAGCCGGAATCCTCTGCACGTGCATGCTGACTGGACTGGTAAAGAGTGCGCAATAATTTAAGGGACGCCCCAAAGTCATCTTTGGTGTTTAGTAGGATTAAAAGACTTTGCCAAGCCATCTGTAATATATAATATTAAGCTTGGAGCAGATGCTCAAAATCAGATCGAACAGTCAATTCATATTAATGGCCCGTGATGTGTCACGCGTGGATCAAGTGGGATTCGCCGTGCTCATGTTTTTTGTGTTGAATTTTTTAAGTAGTGAAGGGTAACGATTCATGTGCAACTTGCCAACTTCGCAAGTTGTAACTTTGCGCTGTTTTTGTCGTGTTGACTTTTGCTTTTAGCGTTTCACCGGTGGCAGGGTCATGGGGCTTTGGGTTGTGAAAGTTCGGTCAACGCCTTTCCTTTTATACTTACAATTTGTGTCGTCTCGGATCGATACTAAAATGATCCCAATCTAGGGCAATGGCGGGAATGTTTTGGCCCGTGTTTTTCCTTTTCGTCTCGGATCGCGGCTTGAATCGCCAGTTCCGTGTTTGTAATTTGGTGTCGTCTCCCATTAGATTTGCTTGTAGTTCGAAAGTGTCATCTTTTTATTGCTTCTGGAATTATTTCTTGTAAGTAGGATTCAAAGGGGACCTACGGATATGGTTCTTGGGTTAGGTACGGTTGCTTCGGTTTGAATCAGGCATGAGGCCCTTAGTTGAGTTGATTAATGTATGAAAGTTCGGAAGGGCATGACCATGCGTTGCATTCTTTGATCAGAGTTGGAGAATTTGTCGTCTCATCTTAAATCTTCTCTCTCTCTCTCTCTTTCTCTCGAGAATTAAGTCAACATTTTGCGGCATTTTCTAATCATGGGAAGTCGACCCTTTTCGATTGGTGGGACACATGAACGTATTAGACACCATATAGTTCTCACACCATCTTATTAACATGACTTATCAATTCACAGGACCTCATGCATAGAAAACGAAATGTGACTATTGCAGCTATCGAACGATTTCCGGTCATCAAATGATTCTTCTAAAATATCTTCACGAATTTCGGGAAGTGTCTTAGAAACCCCGACATGTCGCCATCATTAAGAAGAGATATAGATCATATTTCGGTATCAAGTCATAGTTACATGTTAAGAAAAGAATATTGATCATGTACATAGATCTCTCTCTCTCCTTTAGCTTAGCGTAATTGGCTTTATGGAGTTGTACTGTGAAGAAACTGGAGAGATTGCGAATGGATATGTAAACGAGCGAAGGGGGTATGCCAGCGATTAATGACGTCACCTTCCAGATTTTCTTGTTTGAAAAAGACAACGAGAGAAAAAGAGCAAAAGAACAAGGACGTCATTTTCGCAATGCATGATGTGATGTGAGGTATTGTACCCTTTTACGTTGTCTTGAAAAAAGAGATGCTCGCGTTGATTGGGATCCATGTGGGGTTTGGGACCACCTCTCGAATCTCATTTCCAATATTCGGGGGAGAAAGTGAATGGGACGAGGCACGAGCAGCTACACCGGTTTAGGGTTGATTTTAATTTTCATCTGGGTTTGGTCAAATTCTCTCTCTCTCTATTTAATTTGTTGTTCTGTCTTTTTGGCTAATCAGAAAGGAAACTCATGTGCACATCGGTTGGGCCCCAGGTTGAATAAAACCTTCGAAGGTTGTATTAGTTGTCGTCATTTCATTTTGGGGGAAAATGAATAATTTGTTTAGAAACATGAGTAAAAGGAGAGGGTTTTCATTATTAATAACAATTTATGCCTATATATGTTTTTTTTGGTAAGGTAAGTGGTATAACTTTTCAACGCACAAAGTACAAGAATGAAGCCGAGCACAAAAACCTCGTACCTGAGGAGACAAAAGATGTCTCGACAGGTGCAAAGGTGTTACGACTAAAAGAGTGATGCCTATACATGTTCGTTGGTGATGAAAATGTTTTCCGTTCGTTGATGTTTGTAAACGGTACAGTCGATCATTCATAGATAAAAAGGTTTTCCAAATTGGTGATTTTCCAACAAAAACACACACACCAAGTCAAATTCTCACTTCTTTTCCCTTTTTCCCTTTTTCAAGGCTAAGGAATTAATAACAAACAAATATGGAGACAAAGCTTAGAGCTTGATACATCACGACTCCAGGGAAATTGTAGTTCTAAGCTTATTGTACGGATTTCAATTCAGTTCTAAACTTTTTAATTTTGTCAGTTAAATCCTAAACATTTGCGGAAAATTCCAATATAGTGTTTTCTTCAATTTTCGCCGGAAATCGCTAACGTAGCGGTATGCTATAATTGGGTAACTCTCCGTCACAACTCCTCACATGGATTTTGCCTCCAAATAGGTGAAAGTATGGATCTTAGCATGAACGCCAGTTCTTGCTTTAAGCTAATCATTGATTTATTGCCCCCAAAACGTCATGCAAGACACGAAGTTCAAACACATGCTCATGCTCACCCTAGGTTTTTTAGCGAATTCTCCTTCTTTCTTTCTCGTTCTTGAAATCATAGAAGATGAATGCCAAGAATCCATTAGGGGATCGGGCATCTTCTTCTTGTTCCCTTGGACGATAAAGGAAGAGCTAGATCACGAGAAGAGCCACCTTATTCCATTGACTTCTTGTTTTATTTACATCTTCTCTAATGAAAAAGAAGCCCTTTGGATACTACAGATTTTATTTCCATGATTTCTTCAAATGTTGGAATAGATCTCCAAGTCAAGAATTCTGCAATGCAAAGAACGATTTTTGATGAGTCAAAGCTCTATGTTACCCTTGTTCAAATTCGAAAATCAAACTCGAACTCAAAGGAAAGTACTTTCGGAGAGCTACTTTTGTAAATGTGTACGTTGTTCTACATATAAATAAATGAAACTGAAAAGACATCCATTTCAAAATGACTTACTTAAGAAATATAATCGTTGAATGCTTTAGAGTGTAGTAGATAATTTTTCAAGGGGCAGAGGTCGATTGGTATAGACTAATCGAGACTTAACAGGATCGCCTGACGCAGGTCAAATTGGCACAAAACTTGTTGGTATAGAAACAGTACACGGTAAGAAGAATAAACCAATTCCACTCTGACCGTCGAGATCTAAATTCACATTGAAAGGAATTTGCTGAGAACGTGGTAATGGTAATCATTGGCGCGGAAGCTTGGAATCGGGAAACTCACCCACAAGGGGTTGAGCTCTCCCTTTGGAGACTGAGCAACATTATAAGTTCTTAGGCGTATGAAAGCTAGCGCTTTGGGGGAAATACTTATTTGTTTGTCAACAACATAGAGTAAACAAACTTGCTTGGCAGACGGGAAGATGAAGGCAAGTAGCAAGATAAAGTGCCTCAAACCTACTTACTGTGGACGTGTCGAGACAGATGTCCCGCGAATTCTTTAATCCACAAGGGCTAATGTCGTAAGATGAGTAGGACTAAAGAAAGAGAAGATTGACAACCACAGATAAGACCACTTATTCTTTGGACTTAAAAGTTAAGGTTTCCTAATAGAGCTTATTCTCGGCATCCAATCTTAGAAGGATACTTATCTTACCTAGCCACAACATCTTTCGCATTGAGAAAGAGAAAGAATCAATCTCCTCGTTGATTAAACTAAACAATTGCTAGCCTTTTTAAACGAAAAAAAAATCCAGCAACGGTCGTGAAAAGCAAAGGCCTCCGTAGAGCTAGATTCAACTTCCTCCAAGCTTGAACGAGGAAAGATAATCGAAGAAAGTGTGAATAACAATGTGACCTTTGAATATGACTTCTTTTCTTGGCCTGGCCCCTCTATTTAGCTTTCCAATTTCACAAGGCAAGTCTATTCAATTTGATAAGAAGATGCTTACTTTACCGTGTAAAGAGGAGCAATAGGAAAGCCTTTAGCATCCTTTGTTCTACCTTTCGTGCCCGGCCGGGAAGAAGTGGATTGACTATGATTCTAACTCTTCTTTATGTTTATGCAGTGGTAGAGGCAGCATCTCTACTTGAGATACGTGCGAGAGTGACTCGTTTCCTTAAGGCATGCCCCTAATCAACTTGCTATTGCAAATACCAAAAGCACCAAGAACGGGCATGCCATTAACGCCAGATACGGGAATAATTGATCTAAAAGCATCTTTCTAATATTATCAAATTAATGCTTTTCCCCTTGAAAAGAGGGGTAATTCAAAAAAGAAAAGCACGAGGAATGATGGCATGCACATATTACCTTCGCTTCTTTCATGCCTTCCGGCTTAAATTGATTTCCTTTTTTTTTTATGCGAAGAATTTCATCTTACCTTACTCTTAGCTTCCTTATAAAATGAATTTTTGTTTTTTCGGAGGGAATCGAAATGAAAACGGAACCGTTTAGCTCCTTTGAAAGTTCCCGAACCATATAGGAATCTTGGTGAGACGCTAAATGATTTTACAGTGACCAGACTTGGGATCTCTTTTTCCGTGAGTAGACTTTTTAAGTTTATAAGCAATTATTTCAATCTCGACCTATTTCTTCCCCCCTCGACCCTATCCTCTCACATGTTCCCTCAATCTTGTTGCCAAGTTACTCCTACCTACTTGTTTGCCATGGGAAATTTTGCTAGCCTTGACAAACTGAAGAAATTGGGGGTGTTTCGAGTCTCAAATTGCTCTCTTTATGCTATTGAGGAGGACATTTATGGACTTCTGATTTTGTGTCCATTTTTCGGCTATGTCTGGCATCCAATTTTAGCTCTGTGCAATATATATATATGACCATAAGTGGCCAAGGATATGGGGATTACAAATAGATTAGAAAAAGTAAAGAATTAATCGGAACGTTTACGTTTATTAGTACTGGATTTATAAAGCATATGAAAGAAGTCTATGCGTTCAATGTCTCTGATATAATAGTAAAAATCAGAAAGTTCTACAAAGGTTTGTATAATATCATAAAATAATTTTAAAGTAAGAGTGATTATATATAAAAATCTTACTAAATAAAGAAACGATTTATAAATAGAAATCGGGCTAAATAAGAAGATGAGCATTATATATATATATTGGGGAAGTTACTCTTGGAGACAAGACTAGCATTGGCTCCATTAGACTATTACGGTTGACAACTTCTATGTTTGGATCATCAAGCTTGCACTATGCGATTCTATATATTTTATCTGGTAGTAGAGAAACCAGAGATGCTTTCAGCATCCGCTTATAGCAAAATAAGTTTAAGTTAATGAGTTCGTTGAAACCGTCTCTTTCTCCTTATTTTTAGGCTTCAAATGGCCCTCCTAGTCCTTTCGCATGATCACACCTTTTTGGTACTTGATTTGGTGAATGGTTTCAATTCAATGGGACATTGACCATCTTTCAAACCGAAACTTCAAAGACAGCAATCTGGTTAGTACCAATCAATCTAACTAAGCCGAAAAGGGATTGAACATCGAAGCGAGCAGCAATAGGCCGCCGGCTACAATAAACCTTACATACGTATAGTCGCTCCTCACGTATCGGATTTTTAGGTTTGATTTTCTAATGATTATATTAACGTCTTATACGGTCCGTCCATACCAATTATAAAAAATTCAAGTTCAAAAATTCATTATTGCTTAATAATCGGAGATGAATGGACAGTACATGACGTGACACGGTACCGCGAGCATACAGAAGTGTTTCTACTCAAATCCCTTTATGTATAATTCTCCGGGATGAGTTAAGACCAAGATTCTCGAAGATTAACGGGGTACACGAAAAGGGGTCATCAAAGCTTATTCAAAGATGAAAAAAGAGAGGGAAAAGCATCATCATCATCGATTCAATCCACCGTCCTTTCCTTCTTACGAAACATCATCGAAACCTTTCTTGCATTCTTCGTCATGCCACGCCTTATTCGAACCGTGCTCTCTTCTTGCTCTTATTCATTTCACCATATAAAAAAAAAATTGGTATTATTCATTTCACCATATAAAAAAAAAAATTGGTCAATTTTTGAACGTAATATAAAAAGATATACATATGGTTGCGTCACTTTGCATGGGTTGGGTGACACCCACTTGCCCAAAAAATGTACTAATTTTAAATTTCAAGGGTAATTAAAATTCAAACGCGCTTTTCTCGAAAAGAAAGAAAGAAAGGAAAATCTCTCTTGATCTCTTTCCCCGAACATCTTTATTTTCTCTTGAATCGAATGACATATTAGTTGAGATAGATCTACAGCATATCTCAAAATTCTCATAATCGATTCAGAGTATTTCACGGTACATTCGAAGCTGCAGGATAAAATCGAAAATATTAATCAAGTGTTTGTTACATCGAATCTGCTGAATCCCAAGCGTTAATATCGATTGGATTATTGTACCGCACATTGAGTCGCTAGATTTAATTCGATTCCAATTTTTTCTTATTTATAGGATTTGTCCCCTTCGATAAAAAATCAAAATGTTGTAGGATTGAAAGCGTAAAGCAAGATTGACTCCTCCCCACTTTTTTTTTTGTCATAAGCAAATTAATAAATTATAAAAATAAATAAATAAAAGGAAACTCAAGACTTATTGAGGCAAGAGGCTCCACGTGAAAGATCGCATGAGATTCTTTTGGGAAAATCAATTTTTTCTTCGCACGTGGGAAATATTAAATTAGATCATGGGAGGGAAAAAGGAAAAAAATATATCAAATCAATTAGATGACGACACGTGGCACCCGGAATCCAACGAACCATTCTTCTATACAAGGGCAAATGTTGGACAGAAATTAAATAAAAATAAAAATACAAGGATACGTGACAAAAATGGTCCCTGAATTTTGACTAAATGTGTAATATGGCCATTGAACTTTAATTTGTTAAAAGTGGTTCGTAAACTTCAGCCCAACGTGCAATGTCGTCCCTGAACTTGTAATTTATTTAATATTGTCCCTAGAATTTTGGTATACGTTCAATTTAGCCCCATAACTATATGAAAATACATGATGTTGCCTCTGAACTTGAATTAATGAAAGGATAATATTGAGCATCTTTATATAATTTAAGGACTAAATTGAACATGTACTAAGAGTCTATGGACCGCATCGAATAAATTAAAAGTCCGATGATGACATTATACACTGAGTCAAAATTTAAGGATCATATTGAATAAATTTAAAATTCAGAGACCACATCGTGCACTGAACCGATGTTTAGGGACCGCCCGTGTCGTCATCTTCCATATAACAGCTGACCACCTCGGAGGGCTCAACCATAATTTCGCACATCGAGGCAGACCAAATAATTTTCTTTTCAAGAGATCTCATCTGGCCTTCTCTGCTTACTTGGAATTTCAGCAATTTTCGCGGTCTCACGAATATGGAAAAGACAATCCCGAGCCCCCAAAAAAAAAAGAAAAAAGATTCTTGAATTATCTTCGCCGATCGCTATCCAGCCCAAAAAAAAAAAAATTCGACGGATGATCATTTAAATTTATTTAATCAAAAATCAAAAAAAATTTCTTTTTTTTTTCCTTCTGGAAGAAAAGCGGAAAAATGAAGTACAAAATGGGCAAAAGCCCGAGACGAAAGAGCCAGCCCTGGTATCCTGTACAGTCTATATCTTCCAAGCTCTTTTGTTCACTCATTTTCCGAGAAAAACCGATAATTTTCCGGGAAAATCGCCCCCTCCCTTTCCGATCCTTCCCAACTATTATCAGCTCCATCTCATCGTGGCCTGTCTCTGACATTTACCACCCTCCTCCCTCTCTCTCTCTTTCTGCCCCCAGAAAAGGAGGAAAAAGGAACGAGCTTTTCACCTCCTCCCACCCCGAAGGAAGGAGACCCAGTTGAGGAATTCGATCGAGAATCGATCCGGCAGCTGCAGGGAGCGAGCGCAAGTTGATCCGGGGGAGACCCATCGGTTTTTTTTCTTAAGGTAGAGGGAGGAGTCGGCGGCGGCGGAGGAGGAGGAGGAGTGGGGGAGGTGAAAGATGGGGAAGAAGGTGGCGGTGGTGCTGTGCGCGGCGGCGGCGGCGGTGGCGGCGACCGGGGCGGCGGTCGTGGTGAGGAGGCAGATGAAGAGATCCGGTAAGTGGGCCAAGGCCATGGCCATACTGAAGGAGTTCGAGGACATGTGCGGGACCCCAATCGGGAAGCTGCGCCAGGTGGCGGACGCCATGACCGTCGAGATGCATGCCGGCCTCGCGTCCGAGGGCGGCAGCAAGCTCAAGATGCTCATCAGCTACGTGGACAATCTCCCCACTGGGTATGCACGCCCAGTTCCCGTTTCGTTAGTTTGATTGGAATTTGTGGCGGTGTTCGTGTATTGATGTGTTTGTTTGTGTGTGGTGGTTGTGTTGATCTTGAATCAGTTGGTGGGTATAGAGGATTGGAAAGTTCGTGTTTTCGGTGGACCATAAATTTCACCGTTTTTTTTTTCAATGTGATATCGAATTGTTTGTTGGGTTGACGGGCTTTTTGTCGAATTTTGTGGATGACAAATTCGAGAGCTAAAACGGATATTCTGAGATGAATTGGAAAATCGGTGGTTAATCAACCGGATCCACTGTTGCATCGTTTAGGTTACGATTGATGAGGAGCTGTTCTGTTTAAGAAAAATTTGTCCTTGGTTTGTTTCCTTGGTGGTAGGAAGTGTTCCTCGAACTGTCTTATGAGTAACAGCAATTGTCAGCGCTGTTTGCATTTTTAATCAAAGTTGGTCGCATGTATGCAGTACAGAATCTCATATAGCTTGGAGATCAAATGATGCTGTTGTGGTTCATTTCTGTTTTGTTGGGAAAAGGTTCTTTTGTTTTTTTGGTTGGTTATTGGGGGGGGTGGGTTAGGGGATTTGACTTTAGAGAATGAGGGAATGTCTCTTTTGACTTGTTATTAATCATGCTTATATGTTGGTGGAATGAACTTATGGTTAACTTTATGATCAAGTGGTTCTTGCGATGGAAAGTGTATTGCTTGATGTTCTTTGGAAGAGGTTTATTGAGAAGGCAATTGAGCAATGTACTTGTATCAGGAAAATGATTTGCTCATAGGTTCTTCATCTGTGGTTTTGTGTACATCCTAAAAAAACTTTTGTTTGATTCTGCGGATCTCATGTATCTCTTCCTCACTGTTCTAGGGATGAGCAAGGATTGTTTTATGCATTGGACCTGGGTGGTACAAATTTCCGGGTCCTTCGTGTTCAGTTGGGAGGAAAAGAGAAGGGTGTTGTTTCACAAGAATTTGACGAAGTTTCAATACCTCCTCACTTAATGACGGGATCTTCAGAAGTGGGTGCATTTCAATACGCAACAAACTTGAGTCAATTCTACTCATTACGCTCATTCTCTAAAGTTCATTCTATCTTTCAGGATTTATTTGATTATATTGCCGCAGCACTTGCGGAGTTTGTTGCCACAGAAGATGAAGGTTCTCATCCTTACCCTGGTAGGCAAAGGGAGCTGGGCTTTACCTTCTCCTTCCCAGTTAGGCAAACATCTATATCATCAGGGACATTAATCAAATGGACAAAGGGCTTTTCCATTGAAGATGTGGTGAGTACTGCTGATCCCGATTTCTCTTAAATCTTCTGATGTTGTCTCAAGTATTTGGATATCGTGGAAAATCCTGGTTTATAATACAGGACAATAGCGCAATAGGAATCATGTAGCTGACCCACATAGTTGGAAAGGATTGGCTATGAGCGTTGCTTGTATGATGCTTAACTATGGTTGTTGACATTGTTTCTGACTCTTCGTTCCCACAGTAACTGAGTGGCCTCCAGTCATATTGCCCTCGTATTTAATATCATATTGGCCACCATGCCTCCATCTTTGAGTGCAAATTTCTTCAAGTGTTTTTATGGAAAGTTCTGAAATCGAGAATTAAGATGGTTCTAGGAGAGGTCACGGGGTTTAAATTGATTAAGGTTGTTTCATTTTTGGGCTTGCATATGTATTCAAGGCAAAACTTGTCATTGTTCGCCGAATGATCAAATCCTAGCTTTGGAATAATTTAGTCATGATCTACTAGGAAGTGCGCGGTTGTTTTTTTACTAGTCGTATGGCGTTTTTGAAAAATGATAGATGCTGGGACCTGTCTGACGTCTATTGTAGTGGTTCAGTGTTGCCTTTTTATTCCTATATTAGTGCTTCTGGTTTATATTGACTTCCATGTTCGTTTGTGTTGATGTAGGTTGGGGAGAACGTTGTGGGTGAACTGACCAAAGCATTGGAAAAAATTGGCCTCGACATGCGTGTAACAGCTTTGGTTAGTATTAAATGGAGGGTTGTACTGAAAATTGTTTTGCTGATAACGTATCCTGATATTCTCATTCAGAGATTGCTCTTTTCTAACAATTGTTGTTGGATCCTTTGACTTGCCATGGTGTAGGTTAATGACACAATCGGAACATTAGCTGGGGGTAGATACTACAACACTGATGTAATTGCTGCTGTCATTTTGGGTACTGGAACAAATGCAGCTTATGTGGAAAGGGCTCAGGCAATTCCTAAGTGGCATGGTCCTCTGCCTAAATCAGGAGAAATGGTGGGTAATCTTTCCATTATCGGACTTTAGTTTATTTCTAGAATTTAGTCTCGAAAACTTTATCTATTTTGGATATCTTACATCTTGTTGGGTCGTCAGAATCAGAAACTTTCATTACCAATGCAGAAACTTTATACAACAATTACCTATTCTGCTGAAATTTGCAGGTCATTAACATGGAATGGGGCAACTTCAGGTCGTCTCACCTGCCCCTGACAGAGTACGATCAGGCGCTGGATACTGAAAGTCTAAACCCAGGAGAGCAGGTGACCTGCTTTCCACGTCCTATTCAATGTAATTGTTGTGGTCTTTTGCTTAGGATAATTTTTCTTGCAGATTTTTGAGAAGATAATATCAGGCATGTACTTGGGAGAAATTGTTCGTAGAGTCTTACTGAAAATGGCTGAAGAAGCTTCATTTTTCGGCGACAATGTTCCTCCTAAATTAAGAGTCCCTTTCATATTAAGGTTTGGTACTGGTCATCTGGCATTTCGCTTGACATCCTTGTGATTGCTTATTTCCTGAAGAAGCATTTCGCTTGACATCCATGTCATTCGGTTCCTGAACAAAGACTTGACAGAGCATTTTTGCCACCAACAGGTGATCTGAATTGGAAAAGAAACCAAATCTGTTTCTAGACAATTCAAATCGATTTATTGGGTTCAGGATGTGCTTGATCAGTTTTTCATTTGCTGCGACTTAAGTCAGACATAGTTATGCTCGTATAATGCATGGGATCCTAATTGCACAAATCAGTATATCATCATTAGTGACCTTGGCCTCGCACCTGGAGCATTTACCAAGTCACCCATGTGCTTTTCTTCTTATCCCTTGTTTTCATTACCTAGCAGTGCGCTGGAAGTGTTTTTCTTGAGAGCTCTTTATCGTGTAACTTCTAAAGATCAGTGAGACAACATGCAATTTTTGAGTTCTTACTATGACATCCAATATTTGCATAAATCACATTACAGTTTCAGTTCTCATTACTTCTAATTTCTTGTGTAGTCCTTTTCTTCTAGTTCTGATTTCATAATGCGTGCATTGTTGTGATATATGCCGAACTTATCACGAACTCATTATCCTCGTAATTGTAATCTGCTAAGTGTAATCCTAAGAGATTGAAGGGCCTTATGTTAATTACTGCTTTGATTGTCTTGCCTTCGTGTCCCTTTTTATTTCTATCAGCGCTGCCATGAGGATGTAAACCAAAGATTATGCATCTCCGCCATTAAAAAATTTTCAGCATTTTATGTATTTTAAATTCCAAATGTTTAAAACTTTAAATTGCTGTTGTAAACTGTGAAGGACACCGGACATGTCTGCTATGCATCATGACACATCTTCCGATCTTAAAGTTGTTGGGAACAAACTGAGGGATATCTTAGAGGTATGTTCTGCTGTCTCCATGGAGTGATAAATTACTTTGTCGTCCATCTGATTTTCTGGAGGCTTAATACTATTATGTATCTCTCTGAGTCCGCAAGAAAAAAGAATCTTCTTGTGACAGTCCCACATTGTTTTTAGCATTACTCAGTGAAAGAGTTTCATCTTTTCTTTTCAAAATCTCTTTTTAAGGTCCTTTCAAACGAATCCCACATTCCTCTTGAAAAGAGGACAATACTTTGCAATCATCCTTATAATTTGCAATCTGTATCCATTAGATATCCAATACTACCTTGAAGATGAGAAAAGTGGTCGTTGAGCTCTGTGACATCATTGCCACTCGTGGAGCTCGCCTATCTGCTGCTGGAATAGTTGGGATCCTGAAGAAACTGGGAAGAGACAGCACAAGGGAGGGAGCAGAGCAGCAGAAGTCGGTAGTAGCGCTTGACGGCGGTTTGTTCGAGCACTATACAAAATTTAGTGCCTGCATGGAGAGCACTCTAAAGGAGTTGATTGGAGAGGAAATCGCGCAAAACATTGTTATTGAGCATTCAAACGACGGGTCTGGCATAGGAGCTGCCCTATTAGCAGCTTCGCACTCCCAATATCTCGAGGCTGAGGAGCGTTGATCTCTTCTTTCTTTGTATAATTTTTTCATTTCCCTGATTCTTGAGACATCTTGTGGAGTATTTAGAGCTCTTCTTACTCCCAAGGAGTCACCCGAAATTTAGTCTTGCGGAGCAGAGAACAAGCACTTGGGTTATATAGGCAGCTTGGATTTGTCTCTCAGGGGCGCGGATGTTCATGTGCTGCTGCTGGTTATCACTTTCTTGGATTGTAGCAATATGATGGTGGTAAGGTAGAGTTCCTATCTACTGAACTGGTGAATAAATGGGGAAGCAAAACTGCAGTTGGGGAGTTTTTTTTTTCCTTTTTACTTTGCGAGACCCAAAGAGAAAGAGAAAAGTTCTTGTTCTTACAATGAATAAGATAGTTTGTTCTGGGGGTAATAGAACGTTGAGATTCCTGGTACTTTATGTTTTCTTTTTCGGTCGCTGGTACTTTATGTTTGTTAAGAGGTTATTTTGTTGATAGTTTCTGCTTGTCTGAAGTTCTTTTCTTGTTGAATGATTGCCCAGGTCATTCATCTTTTCTCTCAGCTTTGGTTGAAGATTTGATGTGCATTTTTGTGTGGAGAAAATTTTAGGTGAGTGTGTCGCATGTTGCTAGAATAGATCTGGATCACTGAGAATCCACATGAGATTCATTAGATCTGACACATCAACATCTTTTGCTGCAAGTCACCTCACTCAATAGCACCTCGTTTGTGTGTGTGTGTGTGTATATGTCATTTTAGCCGTGTCTTCTTAGCTTTTGATTACGACTAGAGTAGGCGTCTGATGTGTGTAAATTTGAAACTTTTCTGGATAGGAACTTTAATATGAGAAAAGGTCGCATTGTTAGAGAAAGTACGTGTTGCTGAGTAGGGAGATGGAACGGTCCCTAATAATGATGATCTGTATGCTTGAATGAGGCACTTGTCTAGTGTTCTAGCAATTCCATGGATAGGTACATTGGCTCATGGAATCCTCTGGCAAGAGCCAAGATGAACTGTGGACTGTTAAAGAAATGATAGTCTTTTATCAATTAGAAAGAAGCATTTGCGCAATGAGGTGATGATACAGTGATGGAGGATTAGAGATACAAAGTGCAGACAAAAACCTGCAGGGTGGTCTCGCATCACACGAGAGGTGGGAAATTGGCGAGTCGGGTTAAGATTTGGGTGTTTGATACATGGATATAGGCAAAACCGACTTGTTGACTTGTTTTCTTGCAATGCGATCCGGACGGCCCATACCAGACTCAACTAGGATTCAAACCTCAACGAACCCGCTTAACCATGGGGTGAATACTGTGATCAGTATCTTTTTCAATCCTAGGTTTTGGTCTCTCTCTCAGCTCGGGCTGATGCAGTAGTTCCTTCTCTTTCTGAGGTAAATGATGTTAGGTTGTTATGACATCCAAGTTATCCAACCGGTAGGAGGAGAAATTTGCCATCATATGTCAAAGAGAGTCATTCTATCGGATGAGATCAGAATTGCTATAGAAAATGAGTTTTTGTGCCCAGCGGCATTGGCGTGGCGAGGCGGTACCCAACGTTAAGCCCTTGAACACAGAAAACCAACCGACCCGAGATGCGGCACTGCAGAGGGAAGAGAGAGAGAGAGAGAGGGGCCACGCAGACCGTTGGAGGGTTGTCGGAGGAGTAGTAAGCAAGATACAGAAACCCAAAGGGTGGCAACAACTCTGACCAGCAACAGCAATCACGAGGATTGAATGGTGGCTTAGTAATTTCTTCCATGGCTTTGCTTCTTCTGGTATATTTAACGAACCCATTTCTTACTTACGATCATTTCTTTCTGCAAGAATATAAAGACTCAACTTACATAATGCAATGATCGATTTTTCTTCTCTTTTTCTTTTGGGGACGTTGTTCACTTTAGATCACGATGAATCTTTCGGCTAAGAGATACTAGTTACAACCTCAATATCTCCGAGGGGTTTCGCTTTGAAGACATGGTCTGTCTCTCTCTCTGCTTTGCGATTTCAACGATGGAAGAGATGAGATTCTTCAAGAACTTGAACATCATCACATAAGCTCCCATCAATCACACACATTTGCACGTGAATATAACATTGTCTTTACTGCAATCCGTCAAAGAAAAATCGCGGCCTGTTGTCGTTGAATGAAATAGTTCGTTAACTTCCAGACTAGTACGAGGTAACAGTTATGCGATCAGTTTGGATATCTCCCGCGACTCGACGATAGGGCCGCAACATGTCACAGTGACCGAATCACTCATGCAAACCACTTATCATCTACATAGCCATAAATAACATAGGAAGGGAACATACCCACAGGATGACTAAGCTTTCGAATTTTTCACATTTATCATCTCGTTGCATCATCTCTTCTCGGAGTTGTTGATTCTGACGACGCATCTCCTCTATCTCCATGACAAGTTCGCCGGTATTTCTTCCATGCGGAGGTAATTCGATCCTCAGCTTTGATACCAAATGACTAGGGAACACCGAATAGATAGAAGGGTTTTCTGATGTTGGCGAGGTTGAAACCATACTAAGAAGTATAAGATAGGAAGAGACTATGGTCCTATTTGGTTCAGCATTCCCAGGGGGCTTCCGGTCTCGAAAGCCCCTTGGGAAAATGTTAGGGTGTTTGGCAAGCATTCTTAATGGGCTTTTGATCGAAAGCCAGCATTGAGAATGCTCAAAGCTCAAAGCTGGTCCGGACCAATTTTGGGCTTTCAGCATTTGGTAAATGCTGAAACTAATGTTTTTCTTTCCAAACTACCCTCATTTATTCTTTAATATTCCAGTTTTGCCCCTTGATGTTACTGTTCATCTTCGTCGCGCAAGGGCAGCCGGTGAGGGCGGCCGACGACACTGAATTTGGACGGCGAAGGGCTGGCGAGGTCGCCTGACCCAGGCGACGGCTGCCTGAGGTCGTGCGACCGCCCAGGTGCTGTCTACCTAGGTCACGCGACCCCAGGCGACGGCGCCTGGGTCGCGCGACCTTAGGCCTCGTCGCCAAGGGTCGCCCAACCTCGAGCGATAGCTGCCAGAGCCATATCTGGCTCGTCGGCGTCCGTAGCCCTTCGTCGACTCCGCCGAAGGGTAACTTTTTTTTAATAAAAAAGAAAATCCCAAAGCCCTTTGCAAAAAGAAAGATAGCCAAATACTATTTGGGTTAAAGTAGCTTCACAAATTTTTTTTTACCAAATATCATTTGTATTTTCCCAATGAACTTTAAACTAAAGGCATTTGCATTCCCCCAAGGTTCATTTGCAAAGTTGAACCAAACGGGCCCATAAACTAGGTCTCCCCAAAACTCAATAACTTCATCGTGTGTTACAATTAAAGAACCTAATACCCTTTTGAGTAACCTTCAAGCCAAGAAAAGATAATATATCTAAATTATGAAATTCGAATAAGTAACAATATTATCGTAGTCTTAATTCGGATAAAAGCAATCCTAAATACATTCAAAATAAACTTGCTGATCAAGAAAATATGTTTTCTAGTAACAAGAGATGATCTTTGAGGTTTTTAAACAGAACTAGGTTGCTGGTATGGAGTAACATTATGCAGTGAATGTTCAGGTCAAACTAGCTGGCGGTGATATGGAAGTGAACTTAAAACTAAATAGTGGGCATGCTCCTACTGCATTGAAACATAAAGTTGGTTGGCCTATGATTCGGCACATCTCTATTCTATATTTATCTGCTTGTTCTCTAACCTTTTTATAATACGCAGTAATTAAGTATTATTTGTTCTGCAAGGAGACCACACTTGTGGCACGTGAGATCCCCGGGGAGTAAACCTATTTTTAAATTGCAGTACGCAACACATTTTAACATCACATGACTTAGCCAAACCAAATCGAAATTATTTGGGAGATCCATAAATTATATTTGACATAACAAAAGGTAAAACAAACTCAATGCCCTATAATGCAAAGGAAAATCGAAAAGCAAATTTAATATCGCACGACATAATGAAATTAAAAGAAATTATAGATTACACTGTATTCGGTTTTGAATTGGGGCTTTAAGTTAGCTTAAGCTATTTAGGGTTTCTGAGACGGATCTGCACTATCAAGAACAAGAACAAGAACAAGACCGGCCCATATAAAACCTTGGACAACATAAGTAGAGACATGGTTGTGTCCTACCTATTGAACAGTAATTTCCATTGGAGGTCGAGCACTTTTGTAAATGTGAGTTGTTCAAACTGGTTAGTCTGTGCGCCGCAAGGCACCAGACAGCTTCGATCGAGTGAAGTGTGATCGATGCCGCTAAAATGTGAAGTATAAGAATGCGATGAGCCCTCTTTGCATATACTTTCTCTTACTAAATAGTATAAACTTTTAGGTCAAATATGCTGACGTTATATCATATCTTAATTCCGTATCGTTTTTGCTCTATTTGACATTATTGACCATGCGGTGTTATCTCTCATTCTGCTTTCATGAGAGGCTTTTGTTTGCCATTTCAGCAGAAGGGCCTTCTTGCCCACAAGGATATAAATGAGCAAAGACAATCAAAACAACCATAAGCAAAAGGGTGCATGACCAGACAAATGCCAACCTGTTTAGGGGTGGCCTGCTCTAGTGGAGCTAAGATACAAACCAATGCCACATCTTAGAGCCATCGTATGGAATAGGGACTACGGAAAGCAACACAAAATAAGACATCGAATGGAAAGTGCAATTTAAGAGAACAGGAAGCTTCCCTTTCCTGTTCTCAATTGATTACAAACCTCATGTAAGTACACTGCCGAGGTGATCGGCCTGGCGGTAAAGGAATCGCCTCGGGATAACAAGTTCGATTTACATCATGGACAAATCTTTAAACGGCTCGTACCGCGTATTATCTGGCTGCCAACATATTAGTGTGGCTGTGATGGATCTTCGAGCTGCATGTCGTGTAAAACACCTATAGCTGATCTATCATTCCGTAATGGCCATGAAGCCCTCACAGTAAAAGCACAGAGTGATGAGTTTCTAGCGTTAAGTCACTCCTCCTCACCCTCTTGCAGCTAAAGAACACCACATTTAAGCACTTGAGCGCTACTGCACGATGTATATCCACGACAACATCTCTTCCGGTAAATGTAATTCGACCTTCAATGACAGCACATCTCTATTTGCATATGGATCCATAACCTTGTGCATAGGGCTTGCAAGACTCACCAGAAAACTATGTGCAGCCACATATATCTAAGAGGACCCCATCCGAAAAACATCTAAAGCCAAAATCTGTGTGCAAGAATTCCATCAAATAAAACTCCATCAGATATCTCTATAAAATAAGTAAATAATGATAATAGTAATTATTATTAATATAATAATGATAATCATCAGGTAGAAGAATGGTAGGTAGGCTTGCGCCCTTATTTTCCCAGACGGATGCTCTTACAATATGAGGACAAAATGTGAAATTAAATACAAA